TCAATCACTGTATATCTTTACATTGTACAATATGATTTTCCCAGCATGAACACAGTGTATATTAGTCAAATCAAAGTTTTTACCGTATACATTAACATCAATAGATAACTTTTCATTTTTGTATAGTAAGTGTTGTGTTTGTTTGCTTTTCCCCTTGTCAGGTCTAAGACTTGAACCACAGTCAACCATGTGAGAGTCCAGCACCTTAACCACTACACCACCTCCTAGACTCAGTGCTGTATTTCTTACAGTCTCGGTCTCCTTCTGGAATTAAAGTTCCTGCCAACAGGTCCTCCTCTTTGGTTGCAGATTCTCAGGACTCTTCGATATTACCTCTTCCTTTGTATCTTCATACCTAGGAGTAACAATGGCTTCTTGCTCTTTTTGTCTTGGTGCCTTAACATCCTTTGCAGTTCTATTAATCTATTAATTAATTAATTAATGTACTCACACCTCTGTGAATTGTCCCTTTGTTAACCTTTCTTTACCTGACTAATCTAAGAGAAATCCTCCCTTCATAAATATAGATAAAGATGTAGTTTCTACACTTGGTCATGGCTGATAAAATCTACTCAATTCTGAGGGATGCACAATGATCAAAGCATTGCAGGCATTGCCTTGGGAATCAGTGGAGAAATATTTTCCTGTATTAGCAATTTCCAAATCAGATGTTCTGTTTCCTACAGCAGCAAGATTTATTTTATTGTTTTTCTTTTTAGAGTGAAACAAATCTAGGCCCCCATTTTGGCAGCCAAGTGAAAATTATAAAAATTGATTCATTCTATATTCAATTTAAAGAAAAAAACTTTTGTCTTATGCCCAATGACTATTAAATTCAGACTTAGCTCATTAATAGAATAATTATAGATTTGCGATATTTACATCGAAGGAAAGAGGAAGAAAAGGAGAGAAGGAAGGAATAACTGTAAGTTTTCCTTGGCAGATAAGTGTTGAATTCAACATTTAAAAACAAATAAACAACAATCGCAAAACAAACACACACACAACAAAACTTGAAGCTAATTTTACAACAGGTTAAGCAAAAGATGAGCTTGGTTTTTAGAGTTTTGTATTGCTTTGGTTAAAATGATGACAACTTGTTGTGGCACCTTAGAACAATCAGAATTTCTTATTGGCCATTTTATACATCTGAATAATAACCATGTGACAAGTAATTATGTGTGCATTTTAAACAATGTGGCAAAAAGAAATGTTTATACACAATATATCTAAACTTAGTCCTATAGGAAAAAAAGCAAGAAAAAGGAATTAGTGGGGTTGAAAGTTTGGCAATGCCCAGCTCAAGACTGTGACATCAGGGAACCAGCAGTTACCATAATGGCTATGTCGCTGGACTCCCATGTAGTCAACCGTGGTTCGTGTCCCGGACCCGGTGGCTTAAAAAACTCACGCCGGGCGCGTGTGCGTGCGTGCCCAAGATCCCGAGAGGAGAATGGAGGAGAAGGGATTGCGGCGTGACCATCCCCCCTGGGGGGTGATTTCTCGCTTTCTGTCTCTATGTCTCTCTCTGTCTGTCTGGCGAGCGCACGCGCCCTACAGTGAAAATCTCTCCAAAAAAAAAAAGACTGTGACATCAGTTCAGGAGGCACTCCCTAATTCTGCAGACTCTGCTACATCCCCGAAGGACATTAGTAAGGCAGGCAGACACCCACCCAAAGGAATCAGCCACAATAGCCTTCCATGTTGCATGTGCACCATTGCCTGCTTCAATCCATGAATCGGAGGTCTGCGGTAGGGAGACTAAAGGAATGGGACCAAAATTTATAGCTATCAACCCTAAATTTAAGGAACAAATGCTGGGTTAACCCAATGTGTCTGGGTATCCCATTATGTCCAATTCTCTATTCTGCTCTCCCCACATCAACATTCTGCCCCCCAGGACTGAATGTGACCAAATTCTCTATGACATGCTACATGGTGTTCCTTAGTTCTGGAGTTAGCATCAATCCCTTCCTTCACAATCTTCTTTTTATGTGACTAGCCTTTAATGCAAGGATGCTGTGCTTCACTGAATAGTGTCCGGAAGTGCTAGAGGTAAGATTTACTCACAGTCCCGCTGCAGGCCAAGGAATGTTGCTGTTGATATCAGTATAAGACAGTCTCTGAAACCCCATCATTGTTCTGATCATCTTTTTCCAGGGCTATTTCCCTAAAGGTTGTACCCTTAGGTGTCTTGGGTGCCTGCAATTTATACCTGGGCACTTCCCTGATGCCAGGCAGAACTTCAGTAGTAGGCTCTGGTTAAGTGTCTTCAGTTTTACATGGCTAACATCCATCTGTTGATCTACCTGATTCTCCCCCTTCTCTCTCTTTCCTCCCTCTCTCTCTCTCCATGTATATATGCAAACACACACACATATATATGTATATGTATACACACATACATATAATGTATACATATACATACACAAATACACAACAAAATTTCACTTGTATATTACATTCTTAAGTATTTTACTTATTCTTAATATCTTAGACAAATAGTTGCTGAATTTTCAGACCTACTAGGTTATCTGAAAATACTAATTTGCAAGAAGACATCATGTGAAAAGCCCAAGTCTTAGAATGAGGAGACAGAGTTCCTGGTGTGGACTGGTCCCCACAGATCTGAGTGGTCTTCACCTGCTCCTCCATCTGCCTGGCCCTCAGTAGTCTGATCTGTAAAGTGTTACCATGCATACCAATAGCCTGTTCCGTTCACTAAGTATTCCTGATTGTTTTTTCTCTCTTTTTTTTTTTGGAGAGATTTTTGCTATAGGGCACGTGTGCTCGCCAGACAGAGAGACAGAAAGCAAGAAATCACCCCCCAGATGGGGGGGGCCACGCCGCAATCCTTTCTCCTCCATTCTCCTCTCAGGATCTTGGGCACGCACACACACCCGGCATGAGTTTAAGTCACCGGGTCTAGGATTCTAACCGCAGTCGGCTACATGGGAATTTAGCAACATAGCCATTATGCTAACTGCTGGTCCCGAGTATTCCTGATTCTTACAACTCACAATTACTTGGACGCCCACTAGACTTTGTCAGAATGCATCTGTTGATAACTTTCTTCTTTTTTTTTTTTTTTGGAGAGTTTTTTTTTTTCGCTATAGGGCATGTGCTATAGGGCACAGAGAGAGACAGAAAGACAGAAAGCGAGAAAACACCCCCCAGAGGGGATGGCCACACCGCAATCCCTTCTCCTCCATTCTCCTCTCGGGATCTTGGGCACACACGCACACGCGCCTGGCGTGAGTTTTAAGCCACCGGGTCTGTGACACGAACCACGGTCGACTACGTGGGAGTCCAGTGACATAGCCATTACGCTAACTGCTGGTCCCAGCATCTGTTGATACCTTTCTAAGTTCTCACCTCCCAGACTAGGTACTAAGGAAATATGTGCTGGCCGAGAAGAGAATCAAATTTATTCCAGTTTGAGTATCTTATGCAACTAATTGGTAGGGTCAGGATCCCATGGGCTGTCATGGAGTCTAACTAGCTGGGAATTGTGATGGCAACCATAGTAATTACCACACCCCAAACCAGGAAAGGATTTGAGATGGTGTTTCCTATTAGAAATACTTGGCAAATGAAGTATGTGAGTGTGAGTGACAGATATTGCCTTTAGTATATTTCAGGAGCCACAGTCTCAAATCCTGCTCACAGGGCTAAATGCAATGGCCTCTTGCAGAACCTCTCAGACCTCCTAGCCTCTTTGTGGCTTTGAAAAAAGTACTGGATTTGGAGTAACAAGTACTGGGTTTGAAATCCTTCTCTGCTGCTTATAAATTTGTGACTGTGGGAAAAAAACTGAACTAATATTTGAAATTTAATTACTCGTCTGAAAATCAGATGACACCTACCTACCTGCCTATCTTACAGAATCACTGTGAGTCTTGAAGAAGATAGCTCTACCAATGCATAGAGCATGTTCGGAACACACTAAATTCAACTGGATTTGAATAATTGGATTCACCTTTAAAAGCATTCATTTTTAGAAGACCTCAACTTGCTATTTTATTTTTAGTATTAAAGTGAAAAATGCAAGAGGTGATTATTGCTTTTAAGAAAAATTATGAAGGTTATTAGTAATGGCAATTTTATAATATTAAAAATATCTACAGAATTATCTGAAGAGTTAGAATAATTAATTATTTAATGAATTTTTAATTAACAGGACTCCATGATAAGAGAGGACTGAATCTTTGTCAGAGATTAAAATGATAACGACAGGAGAAATATGATTTTAAAATAAGGCTGAAACAGTGAAATTGCACTAACAACAATTCATAGTTGAGAGTTAAATTTTGAGTCTCATATAATTTCAGAATAGCAATAATCTAAGGGGTGAGAGAATAAGCTAGGATCCATTTCTGCAAACCAGCAATAATAACTACTAATAATAATTCAATGAAATACACTCAGCCCTCAATATCCACAGATTCAACTAACCATAAATTGAAAATGTGTGAAAGACAAAAAAAAAAAAAGAAGAAGAAAAAAAAAACACAGTTAAAAAAATACAACAAGGGAACCAGCAGTTAGCGTAATGGCTATGTCGCTGGACTCCCACGTAGTCGACCGCGGTTCGTGTCCCGGACCCGGTGGCTTAAAACTCACACCGGGCGCGTGTGCGTGCGTGCCCAAGATCCCGAGAGGAGAATGGAGGAGAAGGGATTGCTGCGTGACCATCCTCCCTGGGGGGTGATTTCTCGCTTTCTGTCTCTCTGGCTCTCTCTGTCTGTCTGGCGAGCGCACGCGCCCTATAGCAAAAACCTCTCCAAAAAAAAATGTGGCTTACTTAGTGCCTGCGAGTGACAGTGCAGTGGAGGTGACCTGTAAAAGAGCCCATTCTTAAATCAGCTCATCCTGCTCGTTGATACCTGGTTTCCTGTTTGACCTGAGTAAAAGTTTCCTATCACATACTGCTTGTCCATATGTGTCTCAGCAGTAGAACATCAACTCACAGCAGCTTTGCTGGATTGGGCATTTGTTACCTTTGTAATTAATGCTGGAATACTCAATAACTGAGTAGCTCAATAAATGGCTTCTCAGAGTTGCAGGCAAATGGAAGCAGGATGCGTAGGCTTCTACAGAAGGGCTGCCTGCACTCATTCAGGCATTCGGGATAGTGATCTCTCTTGTCTTGGGATTAACTTGGGAATCCTGCTGCCTAATGTCTTATTCCAGCTCCGAAGTTCAATAACTGGGGCTTGTACACGTTACTCGACCCCCCCTGCACTTCCAGTTCTTCGTCTCTAAAATGCAAGTAGTAGCAGAACCTAACATCAGAAGGTTGTCAAGGAAATGGAATGAGATCCAATAATGGGAATGCTGCCCTGGCGGATTGTCAGCCATTAATGCATGTTGGGTGCTTGTACTGTCTTCCCTGATGGCCCCTGGGGACTGGTTCCAGCACTCCTACAGAACCAGATCTGAGGTAGCTCAAGTCCTTTATGTAAGAAGGTGTGCTATTTACATACAACCTAACACACCCTTCCACACATTTTAAATCACCTCTAGATTATGTACAATACCCAAATAGAAATGTAGGTGCTATGTAATAGATGTTATACTGTACTTTAATTTGTATTATTTTTATTGTTGCTTTAAAAAAATACCAGAGGTCATGTGAGCTTGCCAGAGAAGACAGAGAGAGGAGAAGAGAGAAAGAGAGAAGGAAAATGAGATAACGCTAACTGCTGGTTCCCTAAGTAAGCCACTTTGAGCTGATCTTTGTATCTCCATCAGGGTATTCATTTTATTATTAGAGACACTTGGTTAAACGACTCGCTTTTGCTGTTTTCTCATTTCTTTTGAGGGTGGTACTTTCAAATCATACTTGAATAATTCGATGATGTAGACTTTTCTCATTTTTTTCCCCCTTTGTCGTAAACTCTTTCCACCCAGTTTTTAGATTTCTTGCCAGTTCTCTTATGGCTCCAGGTTTTAATCATCTCTTTGGAGGTAAAAGTCATTCAGAAACTAAAATCTGAGTTAATTTTATTTTCGTGTGTCAGTTGTTGTCTAAAATTTCCAAGCCAGTACATTCGACTTGTCATCTGAATATATCCAACATAACGCTGATTTCTTTTATTTTGGTAGATAATGCAGGATATCACGGGACCCTCTGATGTTTGCTATAAGCAAAATGCAGAAGAGATAGTACTTTGTTTTTTCTGTTGGTTTTATTATTAGAGGATCCAACAGCTGGGGTGACGTCACTGAGGTCACGTGGCTAACTGAGGAAGAGCACCAAGGCAAGAAGCAGGTCTGATATGAATTCTTCCATCGCCTTGGTATTCAAAGTGTAATACGAAGACCAGGGCATTGGCATCCCTGAGAGACTCGTTAGACTTGCTAGATGTGCAAAATCTCAGGATATAATGAATCAAAAAACTACATTTGACAAGATCCTTAGGTGACTTTTATATGTTAATGTTTGAGAAACACTGCTTTCTAATGCTCTCCCAATTTTCTTCATATCCACCACAGAAGAAGGTGGCCCTTGGAAGACTGATCAATGTAGCATAAGAGAAAGTGAAGAGAACAAAATGGAAATTGTTTTTCAAGTAATGTTGAGTACTTGTCAGTACTTTTTTATTATTGGGCACTTTTTGTCAGAAATGACTCATGACTATGTTTGCAATTGCAAATACCAGTTGTGATCTATAGATGCATGTTTTTAATATATACCAAAAAAAAAAAAAAAAAGATATCACGAACTTTTATTGAACTGCACAGTTCTCCATCCCTGGACGCTGCATAACCCGTCAAGTCTCCACCCTTGCCCAATGTCATTAGCCATTAGAAACACAGCAGCGCCACCTGCTGAGCTTCCGTGGAAGCACTAGAAAACTGTTCTGCGTTTTGTTTTCTTCTGTCAAGGTACTTTCGGTGAAATTCTATTAGTATGCACTTTTTCCCCCAATTCCTGATTTATCTCCAACTGTATGAGCACCCCACTCAACATTTTCCCTCTGTTTATTATACCCTAATAGACTATTAAACCTTACCCCACTATAATGTTACTGAGCTCTTTGCATAGATTTATAATTGCCATGAAAACTATTCCAATATTCTATGTAAAAGGTGAAGTCAATGTACCAGGTACAGCAAGGTGGCCAGCATAGAATGCCTCATATGTGGGCTCATTTCCACCAGGTAGCAAAGATCATTTTTATCACAGTTGTTTTTGTTATTGATGATAATGGTTAATTATACTATCTTGAAAAGAGATGCTATTAAAGCAATATAATCGTCTACCATCAATATTTTGCTTCTAAAATAGTGTGTGTTACCTTACTGAAAAGGAATTCAAAATTATCATTTATATTAAAGGCACATGGAAGAAAATCCCTGTAACATCTTAAGACTCTTTGGAGAATGTTAGTTTAACACTAGTAAAATTTAAAGGGATGAACTAAAAGAAGAAAGTTAATCCCCAGGGAAAAAAATATGTGCTTCCAAATCTTAAAGTACCCATTTGATGTGTTAAGAAATGGCTAAACATAAAACCCTCCAGAGAAATGAGAGCAAAGGGGAATACACTTTTAAGAGCTTCTTAGATAAGAAATTGCATGGAATCACTTCTACTTCACTTTTCACATTGGGTTTGGTTACAATAGTAAAAGAATACACTCTGAGTATACATCCTGGGTTTAAATCATTTTGGGAAAAAGTACTTGAGATTGTTTAACATTTAAAGAAACAGTTGTACCAGACAGGGTTGAACAAGCAAGGACAACTTCACTCGAGATATTGCAAAAGGGGGAAAGATGGAACACAACTCCATTGAAATAAGAGCTGAGAGACTGCGTATGCATCACAGTGTCAAGAGCCTGTTGACGGTCGCCTTGTCTCTTTCTCACTCTCAAGAAATAAATGATAAACTGTTTTCTGAAAAGGTGGAAATGTTTTTAAGTACTAGGGGAACTGATAGGAAAAGTACTGGAGGACATTAGAAAGGAAGCTAAGCAATGTCATCAGGCCTTAGGCGGGCTGACTGTGTTCGCTAATTGGTGTTTATGTAAGCTAAGCTCCTCCCCTCCCACAGAGGTTGGCAAGTAGGAGTGCCATGTTCCTAATGGGATAGCTCCCAAGTCCTTGAGAAAGATAGTCCTGGAAAATTTGGCTGAGAAATTTGCATCTCTAACAGGCAAAAAAAAAGAACATATCATTTTATAAGTTTTCCAAAGTAAATGCCCTAAGAAAAGTGAAATCAAGGTTCTTATAGACAGGAAGAAACTTGTCTATAGTTTAATGAAGGTGAGGGAGGAAAGGCTGTCTGAATTACTATCCATTTGCTACATCGGAAGTATGGGTATACAATAAACTTTAAACATAGAATTGTTTTCCATATTCAGAGATGTGAATCTGAAGTCAACAATCTGAATTTTCTTTACTGATAACTTGACTCCTGAAACTAATTTGTAAAGAGAAATTCTTAACCTACAGCAACGTTACTAAAATAATTGAACGGCCTCACAATAAGAGGACATTCAAGAGAAACCCACATTCAAACATGTTAGTTACTGTAAGCTAGTCAAATTCTGTTCACATAGTGTTATAGGCCACTGCTTTGTCATTGGACAACTTATTTTTCTTAAATTACAAAGACTTCATTTTATATCCCTTCATTTTTATTTTTTTCATTTTTAAAATCTTATTTATTTCTTTTATGAGAGAGAGACAGTATCTCAAAAAGATTCTTTGTTTTGTTTTGTTTTGTTTTTTGGAGAGGTTTTTGCTATAGGGCACGTGCGCTTGCCAGAAAGACAGAGAGAGACGAAGAGACAGAAAG